TCACTCAAAGGTTTTTAAGGCATGCGAAGAGTCAAAGGGGACCACTGCCATGCTCCCGTCTCCGCCCAATTCTGCCCAGATACGCTTGCAAAGCTGCATCGCGGCTGGCCTGTGGGCAGGTTTCCAAAAATACTAGCAGTAATCGTATAAATCGTATGAATAGTATGAATAGTATTAATAGTATTAATAGCATTAATAGTATTAATAGTATTAATAGTATTAATAGTATTAATCGTATTAATCGTATTAATGGTATTAATAGTATTCATAGTATTAATACTATCAATAAAGTATTCATAGCATTCATTTACGCAGTAGTATGAATAAAGTATTAATAGGATTAATGGTATTCATGGTAGGTTTTCAGCTCCATGGTTAGCGCAATGAGTTGGGCTCTGTTCTGGCCAGGTGCGTGCGGGTAGTACGCTTAGCAACCTAGGCCAAATGACCTAATACCTGACAAGGGGCAACTTTCCTAAGGATGGCGCGTCGTGGCAACATCCATCAATTCGTATGTAGAACAATTGGTCAGCCACCTATACTAGCGAGGCACATGCTCTAAATGCCGTCAGGATGCGCCAAAAGGGAAGCGTTGTAGTGTCTGATCCGTCTCTACCAATCCGAAGGTAGTCGCGAGACTTTTCAAGTCGTATCCATACCTCAGGCATCAAAACGCCCCGACAAGAATTTGCTTCATCTTTCGCTGGGGAGCAGTCGGCGGTCACACCTGAAGATACATCTGAGCCAGCAACCAGCTACCACCAAATCCATAGCTCGTCCCGCAACCTCTGACCCTTGTCTAGGATTGAATGCAAGTACAGCAAGCCAAATGTTTCGTTCTAAATTCTAAATGTTATAAAGGACTGCTTTCTGGGGCGACTCTGCCAGGATGCGACGTCATTCTTGGAAGCGTATGCTTCGAGTCCTGCAGGCTTATTCGGACAAAACTCCTTGGACGAACCCTGCCCGCGCCAAAGGCACCGACAGACAAGAGGGGCATGCCGGATGCAATTTGTTGAGAGCCTACTCGTTTCAATCTTCCGTTACCAGATCATCCTCGGTGATGCGAAACTGAACGTGCAGCATCAACCAGTCCTCGACAGCCGGCAGTGCCACTGTGTGAAGACAGGCAGATAGTGCCTGCAACAGTGTCAACAGGCTATGCACATACCAGAACGAAATCTCCATTTCATTTCGGGACAGGTGCTGGAGTCCTGCCTACAAGAGAAGGGAAAACAAAGTGAAGAAAAGCAATGCGCCAGGCCTGCGGGTCAATTCTCTGCCCGGCGAAGAATAGGCCCGTGACAGGATAAGTTGGCGCCTGCACACATCAACTCATCCCAGCCATACTCAACCAGCTACATGTGCTTGCCGGCACTAATCTCCGGCAAATGAACAGAGGCCAAGTGGCTAACTGCCCTCGCTTGTAGGCTTTCTCCATGCTTTCCGTCTGCTTCTGCATTGTGGCCCTGACCGTGTTCCGATGAAACTCGAAAATACAGTATGCAATCTTCTCGTGTGGAAGTTAACCCCCCATCAGGCAGAAACCTTGCAAGGCATGCACAAACTCCGAATCTGAACCGATGCTTCATACTCAACTGCGTTGGCGCAAACAAGTGTACTGTGTAAAACACAGAGGTCTGTCGACGCGGTGACAATCCAACATGCCCTGTCTCACATGGCCTCCCTACACCCTCCCAGCTGCTCTTGGCGGTGTCATGGATGCGAGCAAGCATCAACCTTTCGCATTTCTGCCGCCATAAACACCGACCAGACTCAGACCGACTCAGTGAATGGCATGCATCTAGGCTTGCTGCGTATCTGCTTCGAGGCCCTGTACCGCGCAGCCTTCACGCTTCAACCTGGATCTGGTCTGCGGCGCAGCGGCGGGTACTAGTGGCAGAGCTTGGGTATGTGCCGAGCGCTCCCCAATTCAAACTTAGTCATCTTCAGCCGACTCCCTGAGCTACGCGCATGTGCCGGTCAAAGGCGAAATTGTGAAACACCTTCTTGTGCTGCGGGTCCTAGACAATGCGTGAGGTAGGCCCGAAATTTCTGTACGGCTTGCGCCCAGAAGCTTTGGTCGGTGACAGTCTGCGACGTCCACGCGCTACAAAACACGAACGACCCTCCTCAAAGTAGTCCCGGAACAGTGCCAGCGGGCCTTCGAACAGGAAGATGTGCACGCAGCAAGAAAGTAGTTTGAGTAAATAGACTCAGAAATTTCAAATGTGCGGGTAATTGGCAAGCACGATTACAAAAGCCGTGCGGGGGGGCTCCCTGGCAATGTGAGCTGGAATAAGTAGCAGGAATCTGTTGACAGCTTTGATTGCATGTCAGGCCTTCTGACTGGTCTCTGTTGTCGACAAGAAGACGTGGTCCTGTGGTCGACGCAGGAATCGAAAAGCAAGACTGCAGCCTTAGAACAAGAATGCATGGAGTGGTGCTTGCAATGCTCACACATGCATTAATCCTCGTTCTAGTGTTGCACCCTCTTTCGTGGGGGCACCCCCCCTGGATGGGGTAATTGGTTATTCCTATACTGGTCTTGGTAATGGGGTAGTAGTGGTGATATTTGGGGGATTGTAGTAGGGAGTAATGTTGACTTCGCATTAATAACCCCCCCCCCCTTCATTGATCAATCTTTTCGGCCAGGGCCTCCTCAATAATATCCGCCTAAATCCTGGTAGGACGTAGTATTAGTTTTAGTATTAGGTTTAAGTTAGTTGCACAACATCGCCCGAAAAAAAAATAATTCCGGGCGGGGATTTTATAATTGTGGCGGGTTACATTATTGTGTTCCGGGCAGCGGGATTTTATAATTGTAGCGGGCTTTATTAATGTCAAGTCAACATTATAGGAATATTCCTCTTCTATGGATGAGGTAATCGGTTATTCCCATACTGGTACCGGTAATGGGGTAGTAGTGACTTAGTAGTGGTGTTTTAGTTGGTGAGGTCTAGGGGGGAGTATAGGAATAATCCTCTAATGGGTTGACTGGTGGTATTAATTACCCAAAATGGGCAAGGGTTCTGCTAACTTAATTCGGGTTTGGGGTTTAGGGTCTTCATCTTCAGGAACTCTGGCCTCTGGATTTCGGGGCCTAGTTTTCGAAAACTCATACAGCTGCCTTATCATGAATCCCATACAAGCTCATCCCTGATCAAATCATATGGACCCCTTTAGATTGGCATAAACTCATCCCTCTCAAAATCATATGGATCGCCTTCTAACTCATACAAACTCCTCCCTATGAAAATCATATGAAATTCGCGGACCGTTTAAAGAGGGACAAAAACAGCATCGACTGTTCAGGGTGGGTGCCGGGGGGGGGGGGGGAACGCTAAAGAGGGTGCAGCAGACGACTATGCCTTTGCAAAGCTAGAGGTCCGTTGCCGAAGTCGACATCCTCGCCGGCGTAAGCTGTGGCACAAACAACGCGACCTTGCCGGCTGCGAAAGAGACCTCGTCGCACAACAGGGCTTGAACTGGAGCGACAGTGCTTGGGCTGCTTGGCAAAAATCTCAGTTTCTGGGGCACCCGTGTGTCTAAACATACTTGCTGAGATGACAAGCATTGTTGTTTGGCAGCATGACTTGCAACAGCCTGCAGCCTCCAACCCCAGGCAACATGCCACGACTACCGCGCCACAATTTGCAGCTCGAGCTCGAGCCGCTTTGTCAAAGAAACCGATCTCAATGGCAACTACAGAGACAAGGATTTTGCACTCGAAGTCATCACGCAAGGCCCGCACCGGTAGACAAATCTACCTGAGAATGCGGGACTCTCAATCTGGGCTTTAAGGCTTGGTTTCCTCTCTGGAAGTTGTGGCAGCGCTTGCAGGAAAAGGGGCCAAGGATGGCAACAAAGTGGGCACATGCGCGCGTTTTGGGGCTAAAGGGCACCCTTGGCTCGGGAGAGACCACAGTTGAGGGGAGTCAAATGGGGGCAGGGTGGTGCCGTGCGCCATTCTGGTATGCGGAATACGTCCAAAAATGGCCGCAGCAAAGGCTCTGGCTCCACTTGTCTCCGTGTCCCAAGCGACCACATCTGCACACCTGTGTATAAAAAGTCAGAAGACACACCAGGCAGTACTACGCTGGCAGTTCAAGGTATGCACTTCGCTTGCAAGAGAAAGAGTAACAGCAAGTCACAGCTTGAAAGCACTTCGAGAACCCTGCGAGTGGCACTTGCGCGAAAACGACGTGTCACTGCTCGCAAACTCCACATGACATGGGCCCGATTGGGCCCGCCTCCTCAGCGCGGTCAAAGCTCTTTCAGCGGAGGCTGCATCTGTAACATGCGTGACCCCATCGACCTGCTGGCAAGATAGCTCAAGTGGCACGCCCAAATCTGCAGATTTGGCAAGTCGTGAGCGTTGATCTTGAGGCAAGCCAAGTGTGTCAATTAGGTGCGAGCTTTGTCAGGCTATGTGAATCGAAAGGTGAGGCCGCTTGACAACTACCCTAGCCAACCAAGCCCCGTTGTTCGGCATTGAGCGCAGCCTTCTCAACGTACGGGAAGCTGCGGCTGATAGTTGCAGTCGCCTGCTCGAGGGTCCACACAATCTTGACATAATTTGGTTCACTTCAATTGCGGCTGGATGCGGCTGACCCTCGCTGCGCGGCGCAAGAAGCGGATGTGGCTTTTTGAAGGAGCCTCGGCAATTGCATAAGAGAGACTGCCCTTTCCGCAGCTCACAGCAAGTGCTGAGGTCTGGACCAGCATTGGCAGCATGCTAGCCAGGCTGAGCACACTCTATAATAGGAACAGCCGTCTAGCCAAACGAGCGCAGTTATCCAGGCAACTCCATGTGCACACAATGCGGCCTGAGAGTGTTTGTCACGGGCAGCTAGCAAGCTGAAGTTTGTGGCTGCAACGTTTCTGAAGAAGTGCTTTCTGTGCCTTTGTTGGTTGTGGGACCTTCTGGTTGCCGAGCGGAACGCACATGGGCTTTCGCGGTTTTGCAAACTAAAGACACCACAAGAACTCGCTGACTCCTGGAGGAAGACTTGACCTTCCAGCCCGGAGTCACGTGGTCGAAGTGGACGCTGCCTGCCTCGCCCTGCACGGAGATTCGCAGAAACCCACTCGAGCGCTGCATGCGAAGCCTCCCCAACGGCACTGAAGCCTCCGCCACAACGGTTCCAGAAGACTGCAGAGGCCCACTGCGTGCAGATACCTGCAGAAACGTTTTGACAACTATGAGCAGCTGTGTGACAAAGACCTCTTTGATATTGTGTCAATTTTGCACACGGGGAACGCTTTGTCGCAGCCTGGCTATCAAGCCCGCCAATTGCTTGGCTCGATTTCCATGCTTATACCTGCCTCCGCGTCCATGGCATCAAGCAAGACTGCCTCTGCGAGGTCGCGGGTGCCGTGCATGGGCAAGCTGCCTGAGCACCAGGGCTGAGCACCGGCAAATTCTGCTTGAGGCCTGGACTTCAAGTGCCCTCAACCTCTGCTCATGCACAAGAACCCACGCACACACCTGAGGAGGCATTTGCCAGTAGCCTGTCAGTTCCACAACTGTCGACCCATTGCGAGATCCCATTGAGGCCATCACTCCGCATCTGCGTACTTGTGTTGGAACTGCTGTGAGCTAGAAGATTTGACCTGGACAGCGTCGTTCAGTGCTCGGCACAACCTATCACAACCTATCACAACCTCAGACTCGCAGTGCTGCAGGCTCACCGTCGCCTCATTCCTTTCCTGGCAAGCTAAACAAACTCCCAGGCCGCACCCTGGTATGCAAGGCGTCCCGGCTTGGCAGTGCTTTGTTCCGGCGGGTTGGTTCCTCGGGACAGCAAAGCACTGCTACCACCTGCGTGGTCCGTCCCTGGGGCGCCCCAGAAAGTTGGCAAATGAGTGTGACAATGCGTCACGGCTACTTTAAGTCAGAGTCGGGGAGTGGGATGGCCCACCAACCCCGTACTGATGCATAAGCCCATGAGGAGCATGAAATGTTGAAGGATTATGAAGGCTCAGGCCACCATCCAAAAGCTAAGTTCAATGCACGCAGAACAAAATAGCAAAGATGGTACGGACCTGTAGACTTCAGATTCAGGGTGTGACCTCCGAGGTCCAGCGCGTCGCCCAACACCTTCGGCCAACATTGAGCGCGAACGGGTTGCTTCAAAAGGCATATATCCGTGGTGACATCATGTGCCATGGATCATAATGGTAGAATGGTCCAACGTCGCTGCAACCACCATGCCCTGCTGTGGCCACCACATCTCTCAGAGCATGGTTGTCATGGGAGACGCCAAGCCCTGCCAAGGCGGCGTTCGATGAAAGCAGCACGCCCACAGCATCCCAAGATTCTAGATTCTTAAGCTTCTTCAGACTAAGTCACGAGTCTGCAGCCCTGAGGGCTGCAGGCCTCCAGATCGTTGGTCGAACTTCTGGGAAACAGCTTTGACGACCTGACAGGTTCTGGGAATGCACGATCCATTTCGGGAACCTGTAGTCTCCTGAAGTCCTGCTTCCATTCGCCCCGTATTTGGCACACAACTCTGGGGAATAGAGCCGACAGCTACGTACGGCGAGTCTGCAAGCTTGCGATGGAGTCCACAGGTCTTGCCTCCTGCGTGCCCTGGTTCAGAACAGGGACTTTCTTCGACACTTGGAGTGCGTCTGTAGCCTGCCACCACAGCAGCACAACCTCCACCACCCTACGCTGCCACATGGTTATTTTCGACAAAAGGTCACCACGTAGGCCAGATCCGGTCTCTTGTGTGCCGCTGGAGAGCAACGAAGGCATCGTTGCACATTTTTTCAGACACCACTCAGATTTCTCGAGCTTTGTTATTATCGCTCCTCATCATGCTCTCTCTTTTCAGGATTCCTCGGGTGATTGTCGCTGTCAACCTCACACCCCCGAAAGGTGCCCGGTGTCGTTGATGCTTTCCATCTCATTAGTGGCATGAAGTCAGATCTGAGCCCGTGGCCGTGAGATTGAAGCTCACTTCGCCTGAGCCTCAGCAGGACCAAGCTGACAGCCACACTCTGAGGCATGGAGATGGGTAGAAGAAGCAGAGCGTAGCAACTACCGCCCCTTTCCCCCCCCCCCCCTCCTTACTGTATAAAACCCTAAACCCTAAACCCTAAACCCCCCCCGTTTTACGGCAGACCCAAGCTCTTTCCTGGCGGTAGACTTGCCTGAGGGTCCGGCTTTCGGGGAGCTTGGCTCCCAGCCTAGGTTGAGGGGTTTAGGGTAAGTTTAGGGGTTTAGGGTTTAGGGTTTAGGGTAAGTTTAGGTAGGGTTTGGGATAAGCTTAGGGTACAAAGGTAAAATTGCCAAGCAAACCAAGCGTGACAAGCAAAAGTATCGAATCGGTAGTTACAGTTACAGTCCCAGCAAGGGCAGCACACAAAACAACTCTGAGACATCTCCTCATTTAAGTCTTTAAGTCACAATGTGTATATGTATATATATATATATATACATATCTCTGTGTGCGTGGCGTGGATGCATACACACATCACAGCGCGTCACACAAGATCGTGACGCGTCTGTACTCCTTTTCTTGTTCGGTCCTTGGAACCCAGCACGGCTGTCCCCAAGTCAGAAGAAGTCAAGCTCAACGCCAGAGAATCGTCCTCCACCTAGGCATGCTGATCGCAAAGTCTTATCTCCAGAGTTGAGTAGAGTCAACCCTTGAACAACAATGCTATGCTGCGGCTACTCTGGTTGGCATGGCCTCTATATGTGTTCACATATTTGAGGATCCGTCCACTTGCTTGTCCGCTTTGGCAGCCAAACTGCTGCGGACCTGTCATGTGATCATGTGGCTTCACAATCAACCTGTTGGCGGTATGAAGCTGCGATTCTGAGCAACTCTTCCTGCCCAGCGAACCCAGACCCCACACTCTAAAACACTTTCAGGAAGGATTCTTAGCATCAGTGCTAACAACAGCAACCCAAAACAGGTTTGACATTTCCTGCGCTTCCTCGAAGTGACATCTGAACTTCTCATGGTTCAGAAAGACAACACTCACTCGAACTTCCAACTAGACCGACAGACTTGCACTGGCAAGTCTTGTATGGAGCATTTACGCGCATGTTTTAGCAGGCTGTCAACAGGGATTCTTCGCCTAGGTGATTCCCCTCCCCTACTTTCGTATTGACGAACGTTTCAAAGCACGTTTGTAGAGCATTCAAGTGAACAGTCTTTGTTGGGGACAATGTAACAATCGCATGGCACAGCCGGTGGGCTTCAAGGTGCAGTAGGGAGAACAAACATGTCCAACAAGTTCACTTCAAAAAACTACGAACCTGCTCACGAGGCCTGCCTGGCTTTCCTTGTACTTTAGAACCGAGCATGCGACTGCACAAGAGAAGAAGGGAACGAAAACTGATAGATCAGAGATTCACAGGCACAGGACGAAAATAGGCCATGGATAAGAATACATTCTGCACGCAGAAAATTCAGATGGCGCAGAAAAGAAGGACGCATAAGCATATCGCATCAAAAATTCGGAGTAAGCTTCGCGAGGTCATCGGTGGGCAAAACTATGGCTGATGAAATCAACAAAAAACAATTTCCAAGTGCTTAAATCGGAGAAGCCCCCGAGGCGTCCATGACGACGCCCAGACTGCATGATCCCATGCCATTGGAGAACAAGCGAAGTGGTTTCCTACATTGTGGCCGCATCCTTAACAATCTAGGTGCCACTTTGGGTGAGTCACAAAGTTTGTTTCTGGCAGATGTCCTGAAGTCGTTTCCTCGCTTCAAGCTTGCACAAAGCGAATCCGCCAGCACAAGGTGTCACGAAACAAGACGCACCAAGGAAAGTACAAAAGAGTCTTGCGGACATAATTGTGCGTTTGCAACACGAGTTGGAAAGCCAATCTCTCAGCATTTCAACAACCAAGATTCGTTTCAAGCTGTTTGAGGGTGCCTGATTGACAATGACGAACAGTCAAGTGTCGAGAAAGAGGCTGGCGTGATGATTCAAGCTGGTACCTGTCATTTCTACATAAATTAAAACTCAGACGTTTCACCCGCAAGGCTTCATCATCGCAGTCTTTCCCGGCACTAAGATACAACTATATTCTTTAAAGAACGGAACAACGGAGCTGATGAACGAATGTGTCCAGCTACACGAGGCACACGGCATTTTCACAACCGCAGGAAGTTTTGCACATGTTTGTGCAAGGACTTCCCCAACTTACAGTCGCTGTACGCGCTCGGTCTCCGGAGAAGAAATCGCAATATCTGGAGCTTTCATAAGGACTGCTCGAGAATGTGGCACAAGCATAATGAGGCATGTGGCCATGTAGCTGGCAGGGAATTTAAATGCAGCAGCGAGCTCCAAATTTTCACCTCCTTCTTCTTACTACCCCAAACAAGGGTACCATCATACATGTTGCGATTTACGCACGCTTTTGTGAAAGGATCAGGTGCGGGGTGCCTGGCCAGATCCTTTTGGCAGGTTTTGGGCTGCCTCCGCACGCTTCGGCGACTTCGCAGCAAGCCTCACGCACCATGACGAAGGTTCTGCTTGATAGGGTGGTTCTTTCATGCTCTTTTGATGATTAATGTAGGGTAAGAATCTTGGGAATGCGAAAGAGTACTAGGAGGGCATGCTGACCAGCGGCCTGCTTATCAGGAATGAATCTGCTGGCAATGAACACGTAAAGATGGAGGGCTGAGTGAACAAGGAGATGACTGGGCCAGGTCCACAGTGTGGCTGTAAAGGCCACTGGTGTTTCAGGCAACGGTTGGTTTCATATTTACAGACTCCCTGGGCGCCTACTTACTCAACCATTCAATAAGAAGCCAGTAAGAAGACGATCTAGACTCAGGAGGTGGCTGCACAGGAAGGTTAGGGCCCTTATCTCCCAGCGTGTGGTCCGTCAGGACGTCTTAGGACAGCTGACAGCTTTTCCTTGCAGATTCCGGGGCCGACCTTTCAAGGCCGGAAGCGTCTCTAAATGCACCAAGGCTTTAGGTCCTCGACTCTCATTGGGTGTACAGGTTATAGCTGAGCCAGGTCCTGGTGCATTTTGAAAGCGGGTGCGAGGGAAACAAAGACCGACAGGGGGACATCGTGGGTGGCCTTCTCGGTGGATACCTGTACACATTGTTTCATCTGACGCAGGCAGATTCGGGATCCGGTTGTCCAAGAGAATGGTCTCCGCTCCACGAGGGGGCGAAGAAAACGCAGCAAGCTAGATCAGAGAGGGCAGAGGAGGAGGGGGACGGAATGCACGAACACGGGTGCCTTCGCCAGTAGGAGGATATGGTTGTTTTCCTCAGGCCCAAGCTCAGCGATAAGCTCATCGACTGCAGCCTCACACAGGAGACGCGGCACCCTTCGCTTGAGCAGTCTTTTCATTCCAAAGATGTACTGCTCAAAGGCTGAGGGCTCTGCCGTGTTCACATCAATGCCTTTGGACTTCTGAGGGTCCTAGCAATTGAGCTGAGTGCTGTGTGCAGGCAAGTGGGTGGGCGAAAAGAGGAAGGTCCAGGTATGCTTGCTCGTTGGCAGCGAGCGCTCAGAGTGAGACGAGCCTCAAGCTCCTGTACGATGGAAGCAACAATGACTGCGCCTGATCAGCTTGCGCAGTTGCGGGTCATGCTGGGCTGTTTGTCGTGGCTGAGGCGTCAGCTGGTTTTCAAGGAAGCCACAAAGACTTGCACAGAAGGGGCTCGCACGACCTGCCCGTATCAGAAGATGCGGCTCAAGGCTCAAGCTAGCAGACTCCGAGGAGCTTACCTGAAGGGGTCCAATGTGGCACTACTCCCGACCACACACACCTATGCACAGGGCCTCTGTGACGCGACCACGGGCTTTCGGATCCACGACTAACATCTTGGCCTCACTCTGTGAAGAGATGCTGGGATTGCACGCCAGTTCTTTCAAGGATAGGCAAGTCTGGCATTGGGGCCCCAGTCCAGCACCGGCGCCACGGCATCCTCAAGTACGTGACCACCAGGCCTCAGAAGCCAAAAGTGGTTCTGGCACAGTCGCTCGTCTCCCTCCTCCCTGAATCCACCATCATCTGTATTGAAATGTCATCTACAGCAATGGAGCCTTCTAATCTTTGAGCATGGCTCTAGCATGGTGATGCATGGGACTTCGCTTTTCTCCGCAGTGTGTCCACAGCCTACTATGTGCACAACCAAGCGGCACCTGCAAGTCTTTGGCAGGATCCCAAGAAAGGAACCACGTTATAGAAACCTGTATATGTAGAACTACATGTACGTATATGTATACACACATATATAGTACACGTATATAGCATGTGGGTTCAAGACCCTCGGTAAGTTGAGTAGCTAAATGGCGAAACAAGTAATGGAACATGGTAATGGCTCTCAGCTTCCTGAATCTCGAAAACGATCCTCACAAAGGGGTAGAAGCATGGCGTACCTGTCCGCGTGCTCCAAGGTCTCACAGTCACACAGTGTGCTATCGCGGAAGCATGCAAATACGAAAGCAGATACATCGACGAAAGGCTTGTTGAAGAGAACCCACGGGTGAGCTGCCAGTCGTAAGGGAAGATGGCTCGCAGATGCTTGCAGCTTGCATCAATTTTAGAAGATCCCGCGCACCTTGGCCCTTGAAATACTCTGACGTGTCAAAAGCAAGCTCGAAGACCTTCAAAGAGCAGGCCACATGATGCCGCATGTCAACGCATTTTGGCACCCTTTAGGGGCCGAGGGGCCTCTCCTGGTAGGAGCTGCAAACCTTCTGCCAGGCCGGGCACACGGCCATCGGAGTTGGTGCGCGCCACCTCTGACCGGTGCCAGTTTGAAGTCATTTGAAGTCGTTTGAGCAGTTCTCTGAGTAACTCTGTTCCCCCCAAAAAAGCTCATCCGATGCCCATGAGTGCTCTTGGGAACTCAGCTCCTTCAGAATCTTCCACGTGCTCTGGCCGGTAGCATCCTCGCCCTGACGACGCATGATTGGAGGGGAGAAGGAAGCTAAGATATCCCATCCCAAGGAAGTATGCGCCGGCCTCCTTCTTCTTCAGGCTCACTTGCAGCCCTTCTGCTGGCCGGCCAGTGGCTGTGTTGAGCGCATGCGTGGTTATGGGCCCAGCAGCGGCCATGGATTTGGCAGTGGAGTAGTGAGTAGAGTGACGGGAACAGTGGGCAAAGCACAGCTGTGGCAAAGTGATCATGCTTGCTGGCTAATTACTGAGCCGACACATTTCGGGCAGCTGGTTGCGCTTGATCGTGCTTCTTAATGCATGCCAGTTACCTCCATTGATGTGCTCCAGCGTGCATGATTCGGACCGGCGTGTATGATCGTGTATGCTTCAGTCGCCTTCGTAGCGTCAGCATGAGGCGGCTTGCAAGACTAGGCAGCGCACTTGTCGCTGAGGTGTGCTCCAACAGGCTCGAACCTTGTCACGTTGAGACCGGCTCCCGCAAGTAAGACTACAGCGCGAAGATCTGAGCAGAAACTCTAGGCATACAGACTTCCCAGAGGAGATCCGCATGATCAGCTCCCCAAGGCCTTTGTCAGGCAAGAAGGGTTAAAGGTGAGATCGCACCAGTCATCTAGAATATTCTAGAATAATGGTGCCCTTTGAGGTAGTATAGCCAGTATAGTATCATATCGTATATTATGGTATAGAATACTACAGTAGAGTATATAGTAGAAGTATAGGTCTCTTGATGGGATGCGTTCAGCGGCGACCAACGTTCATGTTAAGAAAGACAGGAGCTGGGCACAGCATCTGCTAGAATGAACTGCTGAACAGCTGGGTTCTGAATCGTCTGAATCGCAGGCAGGGGTTGGCAAGCTTGCCGTGAAACCAGCGATGAATCTGGCATAATCTCGTGGTGAGGCCAGGGGCCAAGTCGAACCACTACAACTCCATGCAGAGGAAACACGGCCCACGCATTCACAAAACAGTCATCGCTCGCATCAAAGCTCGTTGCTCCTCGCTGATTAAGTATGGACCTCAAGAATACGCACTCAGCGATCTGAGGGCAAGGGCTTCTTCCCTCGAATGGTCGCTTGAAGCAGCCCAGCCTGAGGAATGCAAGAAACACTTGAACAAGAGTGAGTGCATTCAACTGGGGGCTGCTGTATATTCGGGCGAAGCTGACCGAAACTATACTGAAGATCCTCTTGCGACTCGCTTCTTGAGGACGGAACTCATAGAGCATGACGCCCAGACTCCACACCTCATGCAGCTCTAGTGGCACCATGGGACTGCAGTTCGTGTGCGCAGACTGTAGTCCAGCGCACGGCCAAGATCATCTCATGCCCTGATAGGGGTAACTTTTCTGCTGCTGAAGCCGTACCGCACAACACCAAGACAGAACAACCCCATATGATGGGAATTCCTGGAAATCCAATCTGTGAAACATCCAGATGAGAGAGCGCGCATCGCATGGTGCTCCATACGCCTCAGCCGCCACCCGAGATCATGCAAGAAGGGCACTTTTAATGCTACTTGCAAGTGCACAATCAAGCAAGAGAACGTGTGCTAGATGGTGGCGCTCAGACTATCGAACTCCAGCAGGGTCCACTCAAGCCCCTCACCTCGCCAGCAACAATTTCCGGCGCCTTAGGATCTGCGCACATCGGTTACGACACGATACCTGAAAGCCATAAGTGCAGGTGACGGTGAGTGCCGTGCCATGTATGTGGGAGAGCCCACGCATGTCATGTTGTCGACCATGGTGGTTCCAGCCATAACCTGCAACTGCGAAAATCGAATTCCTCTCTCTTAGATCCTCCGCAGTTCGCTTTATGAGGTGAGCTCTATTCTCGATTGGACTGAAAGAACTGCAAAGAACTGGAAACAGAGCAGATCCCGATGCACGACGCATCCCACCTTGGCCACACCGAAGTCTCCGAGTTTGAGGAGCCCGGAACTGCAGACGGGACAGGTGTGCAGTGCAACATCGGACCGTTGCAGTTGGAGCCTCGTACCATGTTAGTGCCAGCCCGGGATACTGACTTTAGGAAGAGGTGAGACTTCTGCCAATGTCATAATAGCGCGATCTTTGGTACTCTTGTGCTTGGTCGCGCGATGGGTAAGCGGGCGTGCATGCTGTAACGATGCTTCTATTTTGTCTTTCGAAGCTTCTATTTTGTCTTTCGAAAAGGGCCAAAGGAGGTCGCTCGGGAAAGCAAGCAGATTAACAAACATGTCAGGTGCGCATTGGACAACATCAAACCATGTCAAGAATAAGTAGTATTAGACTCATTAGACGACAACAGAGGGGCCCGTTCGCATAAGAGGAACAAGCGACCGAGCACGCTTGCAAACTACAACAACTTACCTACTAGAGTTTGAGATTTAAAAACATAAAAAGAGGTGTCTATACATAAATATATACTATATAGATATATAGATCTCTATGTATAGACATACATTCTAAGCTTGCAAACCCACGGCTTTCCAAGCAGCTTGGAGCTACGAGGACCCCTCGCCTGGTCAACATGACGTTGGAGGGCTTGAGGTCTCGATGAAGCACACGGCGTGCGTGAACCTTTGAGGGACAAGACCCGAACATTGGTCCTGATAGATCCTGATCGATGTTTGGACAAATTCCGCGCTCTTGGCCGGCCCTCTGACCTATGCCTTTGCAGCCGGAGAGCATGGGCCACAGCCTCAGTGACTACAGCAGGCGGCTCTGGGCATCCAGATCGATAGCAGCTGCAAATTCAATGGCCAAGTCGCCTTGCCCGCCAGCCGAAAGGCGTCTGGAACAAGCAGACGAGACTTGGGTTCCATTTGCCCTGAAGCTTGTGCCCACCCGTCATCCCCGTGCGGCTTGGAGGACCCGTAATCCGATGCCGCTCCCGCAGAGGACACGCCAAAAATCAGGACGCCCGAAAGCAACCCCACCGCCCCACCGCCCTTTGTTGTTCTTCTGTAGGCCTTTTGTGCTGCCAAGGCGGCGTGCGAAGCGTTTACAATTATGGCGCATCACAGTGCCACAGTTGCAGTTGAGCAAAGCGCAAACAGAAGTAGCTAGCTGTACTGAGCTTGCAGCAACAACCAACTGTGAGAAGATTGCAAAGAGGGCAGCCACCTACTCGAAGGCCAGCTGTACTCTTCGCAGCTCTCCGACATCCATATTGTGGAACTGTGCGAAGCAAACTGGACCACCAACATTACACCTTTTTTCCACTACTGGATGCAAGCCTCGAAGAGCTTCTCCGAGTCCATCTGCCTTGGAGTGGGATGCCAGCGATGGGTGGCTACACGCTCTTCCATCTTTACATCCCGGTGAATTTACTTAAAATAAGCATGGAGCTTCTTCAGGAGCTGCTGAAGATCACCAGAATCTGCGAATTCCATGACCTGGCATTGTCTTCAAGCTCCGGAGAAGGACTGGGGGAAGCTAAACGATGTCTCCAAGCTGAGCTTGTCTGGCAAAAACCACCGCCAGAACTGCCAGGCTCAAAGACTCATCAACCTGGATGGAGCCGTAATAGCGCAGAATGCACCTCATCCACACACCCGCCGACAAACTGCTACAAGAAACCTTCTACCGACAAACGGAAGTCATTCAGTACTACTCCTCCAGAGTCTGTTGAATTGGCCACTGCAGTCATTTATGAATATGAAGGTACTTGCCCCGCAGTGATAGATGTTTCAGAGTGGCTGGCAATAGACTAAAGTGCCAGAGTTAGCAGCTGAGCAGTGATGGCATCTGTCAGTGATCAGGACACAGAGGATTGCACAGCACTGTGCAGCTGGGCACCAGACGGATGTTCGAGTGTTTGTAGTACTTTGACCTGCTCCAAGAAATCATGCACTGCTCTGATTCACTCTGCGTACGCAGCACGAAGGCAAGTGCACGCAGAAACCTCCTGACCTCCACAGAAGCCCGGGACCCTCCGGATGTACGTCAACTAAAGTGAAACCTGGAAAGACGAAACTGAAACCATAGTAACCTCTGCCAAATGTTCAGCTTCCTCGCCAGCCTCGGCAGTCTGTGGCTTCACCGCAGCGCATTCGGAACACTGCTGTATCAAACAGCCAGCGGTCTGTGTGTGTGTGTGTCTAGCCTTCAATAGTTTCTCAAACAACGGCGCAGCACCATTTCTGTCGAAAGCTGCCTCAATTCAAGAGACAGCCAGCCATCAATCAAGGAAGCCGACTTGATCAGCCACTTTTGACCGCGTGTCGAGATAGGGCCACGCAACTGGATTCGGCGTCCCAAGCAGGGTCAGGCCATAGGGCTCAGCATGATGTGATGTGAGTTGTGCCGCACCACACCACTCGCGGGTATCTGGAGAAGCGTTTTATTATCCATGCAGAAACCATGGCACTAAACGACTGAGGAGGGCGCCGGAAGCGCTGTCCTACCAAGCTTCTTGACCTGACAGCCATGGGTGGAAACAAGGCCGCCGCATTTTAAGCCGACATGCTTGACAAGATCCAAGAGTCTTTGTAGCTAGTAATTAGCAAGTGTGTTTTCACGACGAGCGAGCACATAGCAAACGCGTGCAAACGAATTTGTGACATTTTGTGACCATCGCCGTTGCAGAAAAAGCACGTCGTCTGAGAGACGTGCCGCACACAGCAGGCCTGTTGATGTCTGCCGCATGAGCCTCTGGGATGCAGCATGCGTCTAGAGGCTCCAGCTTCAGGCAAAGCTTCTATGTACTTACAAGCCAACGAAGTTGAGAATGCTGGGCGGCTGGGACTTCAATCATCAATCCCATAAACATGCCGCGGCGAGTTTAACTTCAGAGTTCTGTGGATGTGACGCTTCGAGAAAGCATCACCTGTCCATCTCTGTCCATCTGTGGCACCCCCGCCCCCACCCCCCGAAGGCAAAGCTAAACTCTCCAGAAGCCGTATCATCTCACTGACCATCTCAAAAAATATGTATGACATCAACCCTACACCCTAAACATCGATAATCCAAGCCTGGCATCCAGGACAACATCCCGGGGCCGGCACAAGACCTCACCGAAGGCACCCCTGCCCAGGTGCCGCAGTTCCTCGAAGTCCTCAGCGTTCATGTCAATGCACAGATACATCTACTGTGTTCACATGAACGTATACATGTGGGAATACAAGTACGTGAATGTGTTATATATATATATATATACATGAATGTATTTATA